CACCATAATGCATATGGTAGGAGTTTGATAGATGTTAGAAATTGCTATCTAGCCCTCTAGGTAATTAGGCATTTTTATTATTTTCTTACTCCCGTTTATGTTGAAGGGCAAGGATACATATGAGCTTTATGGAATTTTGTTGCCTGTATGCACATAGATGTGTGAAAATATGTGAAGAATTTAATATTTAGGAGTCAGCTATTACCTCTGCTGCCCCAAATTCTAGGTCCATAATTTGAAGCAGTCTGTAAAACATATTGATATTTAAAGCGAAATACACATTTTACAGTATGTCATAATGCCATCAGAATTTGTGGCTTCTATAAATTAATTTTCGTGGTTAATGCTCGCTTAAACCCATTTATTTAATTAAATTGAAGTTTAAAAAAAATTCCAACTATTTTATGAAATGATACATATACCAATCTATGATGTAATTTTTTATCTTTAACAAATTGTGTATGGTAAAGGCAAGACCATCATATGAGATCATTAATTCTTGTGATTACAGACTCATCCATTGTTTATAACTTAACCAGTTAGCTTTCAAATGTTAAAATATATATTAAAGTGCATGGAAATCCATACCCATGCAATTTAAAGAAACATGAATGTAGATTAAAACAATAACAAATTAGCAACAGTAAATTTAAAAATGCAGTGAAAAAATGGTAGTCATAGAAAGTTACTTCAGAAGATGAAATAAGCTTGTTGGTAATAATTAAAGAAAGGCTTTTAAATAGTTTCATAGTGAGCATAAAGGACTTAGCTTGTTAAAAGAGAAAAATTGCTTGAATGATGAAAATACTAATTGCATGAAACCATCAGATAAGGACTGGTAGAGTTGGCAAAGTGGGAATTTGGTGAGTCCAGAGAGCTTGTCCAGTGTAATTAGGGGCAACTGTTTCTGTGGTTTATATGGAAGTAGCAAGTCCAGTTTTACAAAAGTATCCCTCTTCCAAAAAAAGAGCCAACATTCTAATGCGAAATCTCCTGCTTTTTAATATTGTTTAGTTTTTAGGTTTTTTTGTTTTATTTTAAAAACTGCAATGTGGCATAAGCAGAACACCAATGTTAGTAAACCAAGTTGCCTTATTAGCTCCAAGTTAGCAGTTTTTGTTCTGGGTACAATTTAGGGCCTACTAGGTATAGAAAGAAACCTGATTTTGGAAAAAATAACACTAAACCAAGCCACCTGCTTCTGTGTTTATTCCCACTGGCTATTGTTTTATTAAAGCAGGAAAATCTTGCCTGTTGTTGATGTTGTTAGGTGCTGTCGAGTATGACTCAGAGCTACCTTATGAACAGCCAACTGAATGCTACCCTCTTCTGTGCCGTCCTCATCATCTCTGAAACACTCAAGCCCATTGATGAAGATACTGTGTCAGTCCATCTCATTGGGGGTCTTCCTCTCCTTTGCTGGCTTTCCCTCAAATGAATAGCCACATGTAGTTACATGTCTGAAGTATGAAAGACTAAACTTGGCCTCTGAGTAGCATTCTGGCTGCCCTTTCTCCAAGGTACATCTGTTCTTTTGGAAGTCCATGAGATATTCATTACTCTTCTTTAGCATCACAACTCAAAGGCATCAAGTGTTCCTCTGTCATCCTCATTCATTGCCCAGCTCTTTGATGCATAATGTGTGCTTAAGAAGACTATAGAGTAAATTAGTCTTCACACTGACATCATTACTCTTCAGTATTTTGGAAAGGTTTCTTACAGAGGACTTGGCCAGTCCAATACCACTCCTGATTTCCTGACTATTGGTTCCAAGGATGCTATTGTTGACCCAGGAAAGATGAAATAATTGCATAAAATTATTACCAGCTTCAGCCTTTTCTCTATCTACCCTAATGTTGGCTGTGTATCCTGTGGTGGGGATCTTTGTTTTCTTAAAGTTGAGATGTTGTCCGTACTGAAGGCTGTAGTTCTTGATCTTCTGCAACAAGTGTTTGATATCTTTCCTATTTTCAGCAAAATTTTGTCATATGCATAAGGCGGGGCCAGTCCTGATGCCATATTCTTCCTCATAGAGTCAGGCTTCTCGAGTTATTTGCCTATGGGAACTAATATATTAGTAGTGAAGAAATATGTAGATCTTTTTATCTTACAAATTTATAATTCTACTCAAACTATATGTGAAAATGAATTAGTATCTACTATTAAGGTTAGAAATTGTGGCTAACCTTGAGAAGAATGGGAACCACAGGACATTTGATTATGCTCATGCAGAATCTATACTTGAACCAGGAAGCATTGGTAAGAACAGAGCAAAGAAACACTGCATGGTTCAAAATCAGAAAACAGTATATCAGGGGTGCATCCTGTCTCCATAACTTTCCAGTCTGTATTTGGAACAGAAAATTTGAGAGGCTAGTCTTTATGAGGAAGAATGAGGCTCATCAATAACCTGTGTTTTGCAGATGACACAGCTTTGCTTGCCAAAACTAATGAAACCCTAAAGCTTTGCTACAAAAGGTCAAGGACTGCAGCCTTCAATATGGATTGAAGCTCAAGATCAAGAAGACAGAGGTTCTCACCTCAGGCCAACTGGCAGCACCAAGATAAATGGAGGAAAGATTCAAATTATTAACAATTTCAGCTCACTCTGTTCCACAATCAATACCATTGGCACCAGCAGTCAGGAAATCAAAATATAAATTGCATTAGGGCAATCCGCTGTCTGAGACCTCTCCAAAATGTGAAAGAGCAATGATATCAGTCTAGAGACCAAGGTATTCCTGATCCAGGCAATGTTTTTTGCAGTTACTTGCTATATATCAGAAAGCTGGACAATGAAAGGATAACAGAAGACAAATTGATGGCTTTGAGTTGTGCTGGATAAGAGTCTTGAACATATCATGGGCTGTCAAGAGAACAAACAGATCTGTCTTGGATAGGGTGAAACCAAGCTGCTCTTTGGAGGCAAGGATATTGAAGTTCTGTCTCACATATTTTGTGCATGTTTCCAGGAGAGACAAGTCTTTGTAGAAGAACATTATGGTTGAAAGTGTGGAGAGACCAGTCATTGTAGGACATCATGCTTGGAAGCGCAGGAGAGGAAAACCTTGGATGAGATGGGTTGACATGGTAATTGGGTTAATGGGAATAGATGTGTTGGAGACATAGGGCAGGGTTCAGAGCTTCTGTGTATAGGGTCACTATAAGTCACAGACAATTTGATGGTGCATAACAACATTAAGGTTAGTATGATGGAACCAACCTGACAACAGTGGATTTAGTTTTGGATAATTAGATTATAAGTTTTAAGTTTGGAAACATGACATTTGTAAGAATACACATTTTTTTTAATATCCCTTTGCCATTTAACTCTTTCTCTCTCTCTCTCTCATATCTATCTATCTATCTATATCTATCTATCTTCATCATCATCATCATCATCATCATCATCATCTATGTATCTATCTGTATATCATCTATTTATGTAAGCTTACTAACTTACTAACTATATCTGGAAGCTCTGTTGGACTAGTGGGTAAGGAGTCGGACTGCAAACACTAAGGTGGGCAGGTCAAATCTATCCGCTGTTCCTTTAGAGAAAGATGTATATTCTCTTCCTGTGCAATTTATAGTCTCTGAACACTTCATGGAGGGTATTCATTACATACCAACAACTCCGAGTTCCTCTTTGCTATTGTTAGAGACTTTGTTTTAAACATCAGTAAAATGATTCAGTCTTGTGCAGGTAAAACTCAATGTCTGCCTAGTTAGTGCCTTTCATATACCAGAGGTAGAGAAATTAGACTTTGTACTCAGTATGCTTGTTATGCATGTTGAACAGTTGATTTGGTTACAGTTGAGTTTGATGAATGTATACTCTTGTGTGAGTAAACGGTTGTTTCTGCTCTGCGCTATAAGAAACTAAATCTCTCTGACCAAAAATTATGTGATTCAGTGAGAACTGATGTTCGTGTAAATATTCTGAATGCCACATGTACTCCATACTTAAGGGAAATATTTATTTGTATTATGCATTGTATATCTTCTGTGCTTGAAATAATAAACTGTACTGGAAAGATGGTATTTAATTTTCATGAAGTTTAGATCTATTTTGTGCCTTTTGTAGAGTTCCTTTATAAACTGTTATGCTTAGTAACATTTGAATGAATTATTTTGAGCTTTGTAATTCTTTTTAAGACCCCTTCTCTAAAAGAAATAAATTAATAACATTTAGTTAAATAAATTTCCCCCCTAATTAGAGTGACTTCCAGGAACTAAATAAATCTGCTGGTGGATTTTTGTGAGGTGTGCAAGTAGCATTTTTCTCAGTGTGTGGTTTTCCATTAGAGATGAAAATGAATTGGTGCAAACCTCTGGATAAGTCAAGAAAAATTCTCTTCTACCTTAGTGATCTGCATGTATCAGACAAAAAGTACATTTAAAAAACTTGAATAATTTGAATAATCTTCTCAAATATCCAACTAAACTTGCATGTAAACATCTCATGGCTTTAAATTGCATTTCTTATGTTTTATCGCCGTTATAGAGAGCTCTGGTAGCATAATCCACAGAGCATAATGCATTTAAACCAAGGATGGCATCTCTCTCGTGGTTTGTATCCACCATTGACTCCGAGGGAGAAAGATGAGCAATCTTCTCCTGTTCAATTTATAGTCTTCATAAATCCTCTGAAGGGTCAACTATGAATCAATTCCAACTCATTGGCATGACTTTCATATTTTTAAAAAGTCATTTTTATGGAGATAGTGTGCTTCTTTCATGTAATTCTGAAACAAATATAGACTCTCTTCCTTCTTAAGAATATCCTCCTTGATTTATGTTTAAAATATTTGCATTTACTTTAGCATACCATTTGTTCATCAGCTCATTACATTTTGCTTGTAGTATGAGCTATATTTTGAAAATGTTTTTTCAGTGTAGTCAAGCATAGCATCTGAATGTATGTTTGTCTGTATTATTATTTTTTTCTGTGACCTTGGAAAATTGCTTACACTTCTGGATTTTTCCTTCTTCCACAGATGCATTTGTAGGAGTATTCCGAGGATGAATGTTTGCAAATAATTTTGAAATTGTCAAGCACCATATACAGTAAGTAATACATATTTTTATTTTTCTTCTAACTTGTAGTCATGCTGAATGAATTTGGCAGAGAGTCATAAAATAACACATTTGTATTTACAGTTCTTGACATTTGTGAATATTGAGAAAATATATATACAATATAAAAATGTGATAAGCTATTTGCTTTGAATTAAGTTGTATAATACCAGGGTTTTTTAATGACTGGTTTTACTATTGGTCTGTGTTGGTTGCATATACTATATTTTTGAGCTATGTTTTCCCCCCATTGGATATATTTAAGAGTGGAAGACTAGAGATATTAGCCAATGATGATAGTAGAATTTTTAAAAAGGATTATTAAATTAATGGGTTTATGCAATTTGTTTCCTTTCAGCCAGTTAATATAACCATTTGTTTTATTTCTCCTTAAAGCGTCTGGACTTTGTACACAATTTTTATTTTTAAATATGTTACCTTGGTGAATAACATAGAAAAAGTAAATGACTGATTAAGAGCTTAATTACTTAAGCATATTAAATAATGATACATTCTGAGTCTTTCTATTGGATTTTGGTTCTGCTTAAAAAGGATCTTGAAAGTATTGCTAATTTTTAAAATGTTGTTATTGCCTTTATTTCAAATAATGCTTTCCTATTTCTGAAGTGAATGTTTTGACCTAGTAGGAAATAAATGGAAATATAGATGCCTGAATAAAGTTTATAAACTCCACTAAGTTATTCTCTGGTAAAAAATGTTGGAATGAGAGTTCTAAGTGTGTTCATGTGTGTATGCCTGTGCACACAGTGTTAAGTGGAAAACATAGGTGGTGATTGTTATTGTTGTTGTGTACCATTAAGCTGACGCTTTGGCAGGTTTTCAGAGGCAGTTAATCGCTTGGGAGGAGATTTCCCATCTTTTTCCCATGGAACAGCTAGTAGACTCGAAGCTGGGCATTTGGGGTTGCAGCGCAGCATCTTGCCACTAAGCCACCAAATTGGTCTGTGAATAAATACTTTTGATTATTAAAAAAAAAGAAAAAAATATGTTAGCGGTTAAAGGTTGATGTATACAGCACAGGGCAAATTGCTTTAATAGCTTCTTTTACTTCAGACAAACCATTCATTAAATCAGTATTGTATGTTTCAAAGAACCTCAGATCATTGCCTTTGAGTTGGTTTAGCAACAACCCCTTAAAACAAAATAGAACTGCCCCACAGTCCCCAAAACTTTACAGAATCAGGCTATCTCATTCATATTTCCCCTGTTAAGTGGCTAGTGGATTTGAATTTCCAATTTTTATTGTCAATAGCTGAATGCCATGCATTTTTGTTGTTACTATATGCTATCAAAACAGAACTGACTCACAGCTGAACCTCCAGCGGGTTTTTCAGGAGTCAATCACATGGGAGGGAATTGCCCATCCTCCCAGAGAGCCCATGGTGGATTCAAACTGTAGACATTTGAGACTGCAGCACAACTTCTTACCTAGTATTTGCTAATTGCATATATAGATAGAAAGTATGTATTTGTGTGGTTTTGGATAGAACAACAGATTTACAGCCTTGTAATCTGCTCACTGGTGAGAGTAAGACATACTGACCCCTGGAAGGAGATAGAAAAGGCTTGTAAAAGTAAATTAAGAAAATAGTTTAAAGGCTAACATATAATGTGCAATAATAATGTTGGTGTTGTTACTGTCTATGTGCCGTCAAGTCAATTAAGACTCAGAGACTCGATGAACAGCAGATCTGAACCCTGTCACTTGACCCTGTGAATATCAGCTCAGACACGCTCGAGCACATTCTTACAGTCCCTGCAAACATCTACCTTGTTGAGCAACTTTCTTTATCTGACCCTCCATCTTTTCCAAAATTACATCTTAGCCATTGCTTTATTAAATATTTCATAGAAATGAAAAAATTAGGAACAGGAATGCAGTATAGAATACTTTGTTCCAAATGTTTTAAACATTTCAGTTACTCTTAGCAATAATATCATGAGGTAAATATGTTGTCATCCTTAGTTTTCATATGAGGAAAATGTACCACAGAAAGTTTAAATCTCTAATTATTGGAATGAACCTTGAGGCCTATCTAATTCTTAAGCTTTTCTTTATCTTCTTAAACTAGTATTAAGTAGTGAAAAGCTGATCCTTTTTATCTTAGATAAAATCATTGTTCGCAAATCTCAAATCATATATGTGACAACTTTAGTAAAGGAAAAGTTTATACAAAGAACAAAAATGAAAATTATCTTTTATTTTCAGTAAGATTACTTAAGAGTCTAGAACTAATTTCCCTGGAAAATTATTTTTAATGAAAGAAAACTGAAAACATAAGAACAGAGAAGCTATACTTTATGCTTCTAATATTCTTACTTCTCAGAATGACAAACTAGCTACATCAGTCTTGTAGGTCTTCAGCCAATTTGTGAAATGGAAAGAAGTTTGGAATGAGAAGTTCATCTAGTCTTAATTATCTGTCCATTTATTATGTTCAGGTGTGGCAGTATGACATTTTTAAAATTTTTTAAAATTATATTCAATATACATTTTCTTTTTTTTTACAGCATATTCTTCCCATTTTTTCTCTCATTCATTAATTGTTGCACATTTCCCTCCCTGCCCAACCATCCCCCAGTTGCTTTTCTCTTTGAAAAGAAAGAAAAAAATATTTCATTGTTATACAGTCCCCTCACCCTCGCCCCCCTTCACAGTTCACTTTACTATGCATTCCTTTTTCTGGAATCTTGTGATAAAAATAATATCTAATCATATATTCCTTTTAAACAGTTCTCTCCTTCATCTGTTTCAGGGCAGTATACATTATTTATCCCTTCTTTTCTTAGGGTATTTTACCTTTTCAACTCTCTAGTGATCTTTATGTTTTTCATTTTACCTTTCTATTGTTCTGAATCTCCTTATACTTCATTTCATAAGACAAATCATCAACATTTTATTTTGGAAAATTACCAAACTTTACTCTTATTTAAGATATTACCAGTACCAGTTACTTAGAATAGATTCTGACTCATGGTGACTCCATATATAACACAATGGAACTGCCAAAATATCAAACTTACTGCCACTGAGTTGGGGACAAGAGGAAAAAGAGGAGTGGAGCCATTAATGCTGCTTAGTCTTTGCTAAAGACTATGAGGTACTAGAGGTATCTGTGTAGAACTATACTCCCCACAATTTCCAGTGCTGGGTTTTTCAGAAATAGATTGCTTGAGTTTTCTTCTGAAGCTCCTCTGATTGGGCTCCAGCCTACAACATTTCACTTAACAGTCAGCCATGTTAACTGTTTGAACTATTTAAAAGATTATAGTTCTAGAAAGAAATGGAACGAGTTCTTTTAATGCTCAGAGGAAAGAATTTATAGAATGCTCCCTTTCTCAGTTTCCAAATTTAGCCTATGGGAAACAAAGGTAATGATTGAGTTTTGTGATTGTATATCACTTTATTCAATAAGTGTTTATTGCATGTCCCTCCATACAATGTGTAAAGTGTGGTGCTGTTAAGTACCGGAGCAAATTGGAAGGAAAGACAAAAATTACTCAAAGAAATTCTCATTTGATTACAGAAAATAAATATGGTTACATAACGCAAAGAAAAGTATATAATAAATTATCTCACAAGAATGATGTAAACCAAGCAAAGCAAAGTATAAAATGCTATTTCAAATAATGAAAGTAATAGGGAAGTGTGTAAATCTGTGAAAAAGAAGAGCTTAGATAAGATCTGAGAAAGATATAATTCTGGAAGGTACTGACACAGGACTCACAGTGCCCTGTGATTCATCACAGTGATTGCATTTGAGCTAGATCTTGATTAGAGTGGAGTGGGTTAAAAATAAAAGACAAAGGAAAAAGCATGCTAAAGGTCAGAGGTAAAGAAGTATACTTCATCCTCAATGAATGGCAAATTATCTAGTTTGGAAGCAGTAAATATCTTTTGTTGTTGTTGTTAAGTGCTGTCAGTCACAGGCGACTCATAATATCCCTATGAAGGAGAGTCCTCCATGCTTGTGTGTCTTTCATCCACTCTCCACGTTCATAGAGTTTCCACTGGACTGAAAACACCTGATGGTACAAAACAAGTTTTGAGCAAGGTTAATAATAATAATAATAATAATAACAATAATAATAATAATAACAACTAAAATAAGAATTTTTAATTTAATTGGTAGTTTTTTTAAAAAAGAATATTTTGTAGTGGCTGTTTTGTGAACAATATTTCTTTTTTGTATTTATCTAGTGATGTCTTTAGAAAATATTAGAGATAGGAGACATAGACAAAGTCTGTGGATGGCACAGATGGTTAAGCATTCAGTGCTAGAAGCTGAGGCCCACCCAGAGTCCTCCTCAATGACCAATCTGACAGTTGGCTTTCAAAAGTTCACAGCTTTGAAAAGTGTAAAAATTGGCTCTACTTTGAACATAGTAGTTTATGATGAACTGGCATGAATAGCCAATTGCAGCAAAAAGTAGTATAAGACTGAGGGTATGAAGGGTAGACCTTATGTTCTAGCAGTGGGGATGATGAAGGAGGGATAGACATTGTTGAGATTTTGGAAGACATAGGCTCAGGGATTATATTGATAATTAATATTTGTCCTTGTTGTGGATAGGTGCCATTGTGTTGCTTGCGACTCATAGTGACCCTATGCATAAGACCCCTAAACCATGCTCTATCCTGTGCCAAACTCACTGTCTCTGACACACTCACTCCCACCACACCAATCATAGAATCGATCCTTCTCATTGAGGGTCTTCCTCTCCTGTGCTGTCCCCCCACTCTCCCAAACATGCTGTCCCTCTCCAAGGACTGGTCCCTCTTGTCAACATGCCCAAAGTATGTCAGATGAAGCTTCAGAATCCTTGATTCCAAGGACCATTTCGGCTTCACCCTCTGCAGGACAAACCTGTTTGTTCGCCTAACAGTCCATGGTATGTTCAACACTTTTTTCCAGCACCACAGCTCAAAGGTATCAATTCTCCTTCTATCATCTCTAGTTACTGTCCAA